ATCTTGCTTTGTATGATAATTGAAGATAAAATTTACCCAAAAATTTTAATAAGTAGATTTTTTTGTAGTAAAGAATTATAAAGTCTGAAATTTAGATTCATTTGTCCAAAAGTACAGATTCAGCATTTATAATCAATCATCAGTTCCATGTACATTGTTTATCTGATGTTCCAGAGACATTGTGAACTAAGGACTAATATAATTTAGTGGGCCAAAACATATTATGTGTAAGCTTTGAGGAATCTGAGGAGCCTAGACCAGTTCTGATAAAAAACTAGGAGGAGGAAAAGTAGATCAAATCGAGAAACATTTGTTTGCATTCCGGGCTCCTGCCTGTGACCTTTCTTGGTCAAATTATGTTTGTTTTTTTTTTTTGAGTTTTTGGGTTATTACCAGCTAACTAAGAATAATAAAAATGTATTCCCTTAATTTATGCAGTGGAAATGACTTTAAAATGAGTTCACATATCTGTTATGGTTATAAACTGTCTTGTACAATAAATATAATTAAGATATTTTAGAAGAAGAAGCCACTGTGGGAAAAAACATGAAAAATTTCTGTTTTAAAAATGTTTTTACAACTTTATGAAGTTGTCCTAATTTCCTCACAATAATAAGCAGGTTTGAGAGGAAATTTTACCTATTTAATAGTCCACATTATAGAATCATCTTGAAAACTCCTGAGATCAAGTCTTACTGGAATTGATTTGACCTTTCTTTAGGTGACTCTCCAAACCCATATGCCCAAAGTTTGAATTCTCTTAGAAACATGTTTGTGATTGCTTCTGAGGCTTCTCCCCTTCTAGTTCCTCTGTTTTGTTTTATCCTGGACTTGTTGGTGACAGGAGCTCTCATTATGCTGAATCTGAGAGGCTCAAAGAGAAGAGAAAGCAAACAACATGAGGTGGGGACTCCTGGGAAAGCTCCCTGTGGGTGTGTGGATTTTTAGCAAAGGCCATAGATTGGTTTTGATGTTGTTAAGATTGAGCTCCCAGTGGGTCAGTGAGGGCTTGGTTATGGACTGAGCAGAAATCCAGGCACAGACCAGCCTATACACCATGTGGAAGACACCGGACAGTGTCTGTCACAAACCTGCAGTGCTGCACCAGGCAAGCACAGAAGACATCTGGAGAGGAAGGTCGGCCTAAATCAAAGCCATCGCTCTTCATCCTGGATTCATTGAGTGGACTAATGTGATTGTTCATGAGTAGAACTATAAGCTGAATATATCTTTAGACAATTAAAAGGTTCATTGTAGAAGCCACATGAGTTTTGTTTCAGAAGAGAACTATGGAATTGTCAAAAATGGGGTGATACAGAATTCAAAGCATTGAATTAGTCACATCTTAGTTCTGGAATTTACTGATTGCATGAAATTGGGAAAGTGCAGTAACCTTCTGGTGCATGAAGGCAACACTTGAAATAAAGGAAAAAATTATCCTTACTTTAGGTTATTATAGGAACAAATGAAACATGCCTATGAGGAGGATTAAATTTAGGTTTATGGAATATTTGATATGAACATTCTAGTGTGCATAAACCTTGTTATGTAGTATTTTAATAGGAGGGGTACTGTGAGACCACACATGTTACTACTCATGTTATTTAACTTTGGAATTTTTTAAAGTGTTTCAGTTATGCCTTTTTCCACTTCTCTGGATTGAAGCTGTTATATGCATTACAAATACTGATTTGAGTTATAAATTCTTTAGCTCTCCATGGTCTACCATTCTTACAAACCAGAGGTTATTCAAATCTATGATGATTTCTAATAAGTGAATCCAATAGGCAGGACTGGATTAAAACCATAGCAAATGTCTGCAAGTGAATCAGAGGAGTGAACACCCAGTTATCAGTCCTGCAATGTCTTCTAAACACATAGCATTAACGTCCCACTCAGCAGGTTGAAGAGGGCAGCAGGATTACCGAGCTCCACACTGTCCTCAACCACAAACTCAGATGTTTCTTCCTACTCCTCATTCTTCTGCACACCCCACTCACTCTGGGCCTGTGTATCTGTCTCCAGCTCTAGTATAGCACCCTTGTGGGGATCAGCAGCATGTGTTTTAGTTTCTATTTAGGTTAATTAAGCTCTACTAATCCATGTAATTTTCTTATCCAGTGAGAAAGCCAAGAACTCCCCACAGTCCTTCCCAACAAATAAACAGAATCAGTCCTGCACTTGAGGTAATCCTGTAGCCTTATTTCATATTGCTCTTCTACTTCTTTCCATACTTACATATATAATAGAACCTTATCTGACTAAGCATCTTCTGTGTATTCCATGGAACATTGCTGTCTTTGTGTCTTTGTCTTTTCATCTCATTCCTTTTCTTTCTTCTCCATTTTTCCTCTCAACTCTGCTTTCTGAGTGTATCTATGCTATGAGTTCATCATCACTCATTATCTGAGTTCCTATAAATTTTAATATTTATAAATATCTAAATTTAAATATTTAGATACAAACTATGTATTTTTATTTGTAAAAGTTTACTGCTTCTCTGCAGTAATGAATGTAACTAAATTTTACTCTAAAAATGCAAGCTTATCTGAGAAACTCAAAACATTAAATAACTAGAACAAATTATTTGCTGCTTGGACACAGGCAATATAAAAATACAAAGATTGTGAAAAATGACTTAACAATAACTTTTGTAATATATAAGAGGAAATTCAACTTTCTTCAGATATAGAAAAAGATTGCCTGAGTTTAAATAATCAAATAATGAAATTCTGAGACAGATTTTAACACAAAAATAATCAAATCTGGCATTTCAAAATTGTTTAGAATTTCATTTGAAAATAAATTACTTAAATTCTAATTAAGGATGTTCTTCTAAAAGTAATCTTGCAATACAGAAGAAGTCTACTTCTAAATATAATAGTTTCTCAAGATTTTTTTTTATTTATTCTTACACTAACCCTCTAACTAACTTGCAATGATATCTGTCCCATTTCTTTGGAGGCATAAAATAATACAAAACCATATTTCAAGACAATATTCCTAAAGACTCTTAGTCCCAGAATGAGTAATAGAAAAAGAAAGAAATTAGACAGGGCCAGTTTGCAAGGATAAGTGGCATTATAGAGATAATAAATGTTAGTGTTTACAAAAAAGACTCAAGAAAATAATCGATTTTACTTTCTGCAGAAAGTCATGGGCATCAGACATTTCCATAATCACTCCTAGTTAGTTTTGCCATCCAAGTGGCCCATTTAATATTGCTGCTTCTGCTTATTCCTCTTACATTATAAGTTATACTGTGTAGAATTTTTTCTGTATTTACAAAGGAAATATGTTTAATTGTCATGAATGCTTTATGAACTTGTTATGCAGATATTTTATAGCAGATAATCTAGTTGGAGAAATCAAGATATAATGTTGTCAAGTGACATATTCAAACCTACTATTTTTCCAAGATAAAATACTTATTCATTGGTTGGTTATTTGTATTAATTTTTGAATTAGTAATAAAATCTTGAAAAAGTTTAAGAATAAAATAAGGTACACTAACTTCTGCTTTAACCTATTTTGTTTGGAATGGAAAAATGAATTATTAATCTGGGTTAAATTGTGAAGAAACATCACTAAAATTGAAGTCAAAGGTGAAAAGAAATTATGGTAATGAAATAATCTAGCTAATATATCAGAACACTAAAGAAAAGTTTTGTTACTGCCAGTTTCACTCAAATTCAAGTTAGTTGCCATCAAGTGAATATTCAGCATCTCTTGCATATACTTTTGCTTCTACAAATCACATACTCACACTTTAAAAGGTATCTAATTAATCTAGTCAGGACACCAGTCAAAGTTCAAAAAGGAAAAACAATCTCTCATACATACCCATATTATAAGGGAATTACAATACAGTATTCAGAAGGATCAGCAAAGTAAAGAAAGATCAGAAAATTTAAAGATTATTCTTGTACTCAAGATAATCCTTGCAGGATGGATACCAACAATCTTCCATGCTGACACAAACTAGGGAAAATAGAAAGTTTGGCTGCATCTCTGTGCATGTCTGCATGGCTCAAGCCATTATTATATGAGGCTGTGAGACCATCTAATGCATATTCAAGTCATATAAGTAAAACCATGTGATATTTAAGCCTGTGTGTCTGATTTATTGCACTATTATGATCTCAAGGTGTACCCATTTACCTACAAATGACTCAAGTTTATCTTTCTTTATGGCAGAGAGAAGGGGACAAAAAAGAATAGAGATGTATAATGTACATGTACAAACTCACCAGGATGAAGTTAGTCATTATGTGCTGCAAACATGTTCGAATAAAAATACTTAATAAAAATACATTAATAAATAAATAATTTAAAATATAATATTTGAGCAAGATGTACATGACTGATTTGCTGACTTTATCCCTCTATATTTAATTCTCTGAGTAGCAGCAGGACTCAAGCTGAGAACGTGCAGAGTGCTAGCACACAGGTGCTGGTCACCAAGTCCCTGTCGTGCACTGCTGTGGCCAGGGCTGGTGTGACAGGACAAGCTGGCTGGAAGCCATGGCTTTGCAGCCACATTCCTGCAGTGCTCTCTTCTTCCTGTTCTGGCCTAGCTGCTTTTGTCAGTCTGGTCCATGATGATCACTAAACATCTACAACACACAGACTTGGTGACAATGCTATTAAAACTGTTTGGAGAGAAGGTGTCCAAATCTAGAAGAAGTCAGCAGCTGAGCAGAAGACATTCACTAGGTAAGTGACACTTGCCTTCTCATCACTGATACTGTTTTTGTTCCTCTCTCAGCTATTTTCAATCTTATATGGGAAAATGTTGACTTCATATTTTGCCTTAATCTGAAGAAAGAGGAAAGTGATATCATTTTTGTCATTGAGATAAAAATGCAAATAGAGCAAGCCAGCATTTTATCTTAGCATCTCTGGCTTCTACTTTTCAATGGCTTCCTCTGATCATTTATACTGGTCCCTAACAAGGAATATTTAGAGGTTTCAGGTGGAATTTGCCCATCAGTGCCAAAATGTGGATTAAGAATTAGACCTTACTGGATGATTTCATTTTACTGGGATTTTCTGAACACCCCTGGCTGGAAACACCACTCTTCATCATCTTTCTGGTGACCTACATCTTTGCCCTATTTGGAAATCTATGCATCATCTTAATTTCCCTCCCGGACCCCCAGCTCAACAGTCCCATGTACTTTTTTGTCTCAAATCTCTCCTTTGTGAACCTCTACTACACCACCAGCACAATCCCACAGATGCTTGTCAACTTGAGGGGACCAGAAAAGACCATCAGCCACCGGGGCTGTGTTGCCCAGCTGTACATTTTTCTGGCCTTGGGATCCACTGAGTGTGTACTTCTGGCCATCATGGCTTTTGACCATTATGCTGCCATTTGCAAGCCCCTGCACTACTCAGTAATCATGAATGAGAGAAGGTGTGTCCACATGGCTGCCGGCCCCTGGGTAAGTGGCTTAATAAACTCCCTTGTCCAGTCCACTCTCACTCTGGTGGCCCCGAGGTGTGGACACAGGGTGATAGACCATTTCTTCTGTGAAATCCCTGCCCTTTTGAAACTGGTTTGCATTGACACTCACGTGAATGAAATTGAGCTTAATGTTGTGGGGGCTCTAATACTCCTGGTGCCACTTGCCCTCATCCTGGGCACTTATGTGATCATTGCTCAGGCTGTGATGAAAATCCGCTCTGCAGAGAGTCCCTGGAAGGCCTTCAACACCTGTGCTTCTCGCCAGCTTATGGTATTCCTCTTCTACTTCACAGCCATCAGCATATACGTGCAGCCTTCCTCCAATTACTCTCATGACAGAGGCAAGATCACATCTCTCTTCTATGGCATTGTCAAGCCCACCCTCAACCCCTTCATCTACACACTGAGGAACAAGGACGTGAAATCTGCCTTGAGAAGGGCATTGACAAAGGAGTTTTGGGTCAAGTTGAGATAACTCATGTCCAGATGGAACAGAATGGAATGCTGTGAGACTTCATCAGCATTTAATATTTTGCCTTAATCAGAAGAAAGACGTAAAATATGCAATGTAAAAATGTGTGAATTGTTGATTTCTGCACTTTTCTATGCAATATAGTATATTTGAACTGAAGTTGACCATAGGATGAGAGGCCATAAATAAAAAGGGACTGTTGTATCTGCTTTACAATACTGAATTTTACCCAGTCAATCATCTCTTTTTCCCTAACCTTACTTACTAATTAATCTGGTATAAGCAGATGAAATGGTAAAAATATTTAGAGGAAGATTTTTAGAAAGTTTGGAAAATATTTAACATAAGATATCAAATTTTTAAATTATTATTGAATTGAATTAAAAATTATCCCATACGTTAGAAAAGTATGCCACTACTATTCTGACATTTTAGTTGGCATATCACAACATCAGTCATCTCTCAACATCCACAGTATAATTATAGTCACTCTCAAAGGATTCTGTTAGGTACCAGAGGCAAGTGAAATTAGGGGGCAACCAGATCAAAATTTTAAAGATAGAAATATAGAAAAATAAATAAAGACTTAATGTTAAGAAAAATAAATGCATTAAGACATGTTAAGAATCAATTGTTTTTTCCTAAATATCCATCAACTGCATACTGCATACATAGTGGGGTTTGTGTGGGAGAAGACACAGCCCATGCAGATGGACTCTGGTGTAGGACCAAAGGCAGCAAGCCTTGGACAGAATATCTTAACTGAGAAATTTTAACTGAAGAAACCTTGATTACTTGGGATTTTTAAAAATCACCCTATAACTCTTTACTGATTGTATTTTGGGGTTGTCACGTGTATACTTTAAGATTTTTATTCATACAGAAAAATTGGTTTTGTTTTACATATTCATGCAAGTGCACAAGGCATTTTCATCATTTTTACTCCCCCCACTACCTTCCCTCACTTGATCCCCTTTTTGTTCTCTGAGTCTGTTTTCAACTTTTGTGTCATCTCCCTTGTTCTCTATAATTAATCATTTTTTAGATTCTATGTATAAGAGAAAATGTGACATTTGACTGAGGTCTGACTTAGTTCATTTAACATGATAGTCCCTGGCTCCCCCATTTTCCTGCAAATCACAAATTTTGATCTTCTTTATGGCTGAAACTATTCCAAATACCTAGGATGTTTCTACAACTCAATGATTGTGAATTGAACCACCATAAACATGGGTGTGCACTTTACAACTCCAGTATGCAACTTTAATTCATTTGGGAATGTACCTAGGACTCTGATAGCTGGATCAAATGGCAGGTGTATTTTTACTTTTTTGAGAAACTTTCATACTCATTTCCACAAAGATTGTACTAATTTATTTTTCCTCCAACACAATAGAAGGTTTTGTTTTTTCCACATTTTTGTCAGCAGGTATTGTTTTGTATTCTTGATAATTATTCTGACAAGAGTAAGGCACAATCTTGGTATAGCTTTGGATTTGTATTTCCTTAATAGGTAAAATTTCAAACATCTTTATATAATTATTGGCCATCTATGCTTATTTTGAGAAGCATCTTTTCCATTCATATGTGCATTTATTGATCATTTTAGTATTATTTTTTAATTGTTTATATATTCTAGATATTAATCTTCTGTTGAAATATAGCTAGAAAAGATATTCTTTTAGCCTCCCTATAGGCTGTTTCTTAACTAAGTTAATTGTTTCCTTTGCTGTGCAGGAGCTTTTGAATTTGACATATATTTGTTTGTTGATTCTTGCTATGGTTTCCAGAGCCATTGGTGTTATAATCAAGAAATCTTTTCTTGTGCCTTTGATTTTGAGGTTTTCTCCCATGTTTTATTATAGTAGTTTCAGTTTTAGATTGTAACTTGGGAATTGCATGTTTGACAAGATAGCTTCCTTCACCATTTGACTGGATAAATCAATCCTATTGTCATATGGGAATTATGATTGTACTATTTTGAATTCAAAATCTTGGTTGATCTAATTTTTATACACTTTATAGGTCTTTGCAGTAAACTGGCTCACAAATATATACTAGCCAAAAGTGCCTAGGCAAAATAAAGTGAGTTTGGCAGAAACCCAACACAACTCCTGAAAAGGAAGTGAAATACTATTTCTGCCACATGATGTAACAGGATTTTCTACAAGTTGTGTGTATCATGGAATAATATGTTATTTTTATTGTATTTTTCTTGCCACCAAATATATGTACTAATACCTTAATTCTGAGTTTTGAAGAGATGGAAGGACTGGTAAAAGAGGAGAGGGCAGGAAGATAAAAAAGAATTAAAATGTGTTACACACATGTACCATCTCCCCTTGTTGAAAGTAAGAGTTAAGGACAGCAAATGTGTACTAATAAAATATAAAACTCTTCATATCTGTCAAAAAATCAAGCTTTCAAGGACATGTTGGGGGTGAGAGCAAAACCTACATAATACTTGAAAGCAATTTATATTATTTCTTAATAGAACACAGAATGTAATGCTTAAACTTCTAGCTCTGTATCAAAAAATAGATAACCTAAATAAAAAACAGGAGTTGTGCTTAATTAATTAATTGTTAACTTGAATGTGGAACACCTAGTTGAATTGGGTCAGCATGGTTCTGAGAGTAGAAAGCCCACTTAATGAGGATTGTTATCAGAAAGGTATAAAAGGAAAATTTGAGGGGAGAATTTCATGCTGATTGTACTTGGAAGACAGCTTTGTTTTGGCTGATATTTTTTCTCTTCCAAGAAGCTCTAGTCTTTGCCTTAGCCTCAGGAGTCCTCTACTGGCTTTTGACTTTCCAGCCCTTTGGCAGAGACACTTCAGCTTCTTGAATGTTTAACCTGCAGTTTCCTGGGCTTTCTGATACAGAATTGTAGGGGACAATGCCACGGCCTCCAGGTCTTCAGCTGGATTCTTTGGTTCTCTAGCACATGGACAGATCTCTTATATTCTTCTACATTTGATTCTGTTGGGGGAGATTGTCAGCTAATCTTGTAAATTTTTGTGTTCTACCTTAAATCTGATTCAGAGCATTTGCAGGCTTTGAGGAGCCTTGCCCCAGCTCTGTGAGTTCTTTCTACAACAGGTTAATTCTAAATTAATAAAGCTCTATTTTCTACTTTATATTTTATAAAATTGTGAATAATCAATCACAAAAAATACAAATTCTATATTATTTCCACTACTTTAATACATATATTTAAACTTTTTAGTACAATATACTTAACAAAGTACAATCTATCAATAAGTACAACTACTCAATTTTACTTATTTCAATTCACTATAGTTATTTCAAAATAAGACATCATAACAAGATACATTTCATTGTCTTTATAAATATAATCACTGAAGAATGTTTTATTGAACATTCTAATTTGCTGACTGTAAGAATTCTGGGATCTAAATGAAATTATTATATGACTAGCAATATTAAGGATCTACAACAGTTCAAAACTATCAAAACTATAAAAAATTGGAATAGCAGGCATTAAAGATAGCATCTAATGTGAATAATGAATAGACCTCCCAAAGATAAACCACCCTAGTGAACTGAAATCCCCATGGGCCATGAGGTATTCCATATGAACTTCCCCCTCTCCCACACACCAGCATGACTTGTGATCTTGTACCTTTCAGTAACTCAACTGCTTCTGAAAAATGTTTCTTTGATTCATAGCATCAATTACCCCACCCACATGAGCTGCATTTCCCTCAGATGGCTCCTCTTTAAAACCTTGTCTTTCCCAAATCCATGCATGATTCATGTGTGTATCTGGCTTCTCCTCAATATCGTGCTTCACACATGCTTAGTGCTCAGGAAGAGCTGCCTATTTTTTCCAGGACTCCTGCAAACTTTCACTCTCCTCCTAAAATGGGCAGTGCTAAGTTCTGTATTCTGTGGGTGGAGTACACCTGGCATTCCTACTTCCTGTGGCTCCAAGAGGTGAAGTTGGTAAAGCCAATGAAGCTAGAATATGAAGAAATGGCTTGCAGGCATAATTTTGGAATCTCTTGGGTCTATAAGAGAAAAAGAGTTCATTTCTTCATTTTCATGTAATCTAGAAAAAGTTGCTAAGTATTAAAAAGTTTTTAACTGGGTACCATCAAGCAGAGGGCCCAGAACTGCCCCTCTACTGCTGGCACCATCCTGTGGAGGACCATGCCCCCAGAGCTGGTGTCTGGGTCCACACCACAGAGGTACTGAGGGCCATAAAGGCGGTAGTTATGAGCTCCAGATAGTAGAGCAGATGTAAACTACAGAAAGAGGGCTTCTCTGAAGCTCCTTGATGAAAATTGAAGCCCACTGGGGAAGTGAAGAAATATCTGCAATAAAGTCTCACTGGATCACCCTGGTTGGTAAATTTGTATAAGCACCCAGACTTGCTTTGGGGGAAGGGCACTTTAAACCTGCAGGAGAACCTTGTAGATTCAATTCTGCACGAGGTCAGGAAGCTCAACTTGGGCCTTGCAGGCAGGAATCAACCTGACTCTCAGTGGACTATGGCTGGCTTGCTGAGACTAATCAACTTAGATCTGTACACAGGTGTCCACATTGTCTGTAGTGACAGCAGGGACATACCCTAAAGGCGACCCTTCATTTCTTCTTCTTCTTTTTCTCTCTCCTTTCTTCCTCATTTATCACCCTTTTCGGTCTAAGTGATTGTATCACTTGGTCTAAGGTTGTCTTCCCTGGTATACTGAATATGAGATTGCCTAAGAGTCATTAGAGCCTCAAAACCTAAAGACCAGCTATATCTGGAAGAAACTACAGGCAGTAAAAATACTCACAATTAGCAATATTGAAATATCAACACAGGAATTATACCAAAAATAGTATCAACAACAAAAATAAACATGAGAAGATACCTAGACAAGGCACAAACCCAGACTTTCAGCTCAACAAAGGAAATACTTGGGGCAACAACAAGGTGGAAAAATCCGATAATCAAACACCTGGCCACCCTGAACTGAGAGCAGGGGATTTAAT